AGAGAGACAGGTCAAAATCTGGTTTCAGAACAGAAGAATGAAAATGAAAAAGATGAACAAGGAGAAAGGCAATAAAGGAGACTAACGCTGGGGTAGAAACGCAGTTGGGGAATATTGCTTTAGTTCTGAGTTTGGGGGTTTTAGGGTTTGTTTTGGGTTCGGGTTTTTGGTTGTTGGTTTTTGTCTTTTTTTTCCTCGTTTGTTTTTTGGTTTTATTCTTCCCCTGCCCCTTCAGCCCCCCATACGTTTCTCCTCCTCCTCCTGCGCCCCCCCACTCCCCTCCCCACCCCGGGAACTTTAAATCAATCTGGTCCTTTTTTTTTTTTTTTTTTTTTTGGATAGAAGTGAAACGTGGTCTATGTCAGGTATTTCGGGAAATTTTGTCTTGCTCGCCAACGTGTTTTGCAGAGTCGCTACATCCTCCCCCTCCTCCTCCTTCCCAGACCGTTTTGGGTGAAGATATTGTGAGTGCACGTTAGCTTTGGGAACTCTATCTGATGTTAAATGTTTGACATGTTTCTTAAAAGTGATGTAGTCTAGATAGTTACTTTGCCAAAATAAAGGTAAGGAAATTAATTATAATTACGATAATAAAATATATATTAAATTACAGTCGCTTAAATCAGTGGGGGTGCTGTGTTGTCCACGATTAACTAAGAGGAAACCTTACCCAAAACCTCTGCTTTCTAGGTCTGAATTTCGCTCCTTCGCAATAGATGCCACAGCGAGGCCACGAGCCTTTCCCCCCTCCCTCTACCCCCCCTTTAGTGCACTTTTAGGAGGTTGTCTCATCCCTGAAGCCGTTCGCAATAGGCCTAACGTCTCCCGGTCCCCCGGCTAGCTGCCGTCCCTGCCCCGGTGACTGTTGTATTAATTAACCACTCCGTGTCTCGAGCTACGGACCTGTTGTAATTGTTGTCAGTTATTACACAATAAAGTCTGCCGTGACCCAACGACAGCGCTGCGGTGAGAGGAGAAATCTGTGCGCCCCTCGCGTTGCCCTTCGCGCCGCCGACCCCACCGTGCAACCCCCCGCGCAACCCCTCCGCGGGCCCGGGGCCGCGCCGCCGGGGCACCGGCACCTTTGGCAGGCACAAAGGGCCGGGGAGGAGGGGGGGAAACAAATCCCTTTCCCCCCGCCCTCGACTCATGCCTATTTGCTCTTGGAGGCCGGTGGCGGAGAGGCCGGCCTCGGCCGCCCCGCGGATGGTGCGCGCCTGCTGCCGCTCCGCGCTCCCCTGCGCCGGCCGTGCGAGCGGTCCACCAAACATCAGCCATCCCCTGCGATAATTTAGGAAATATTTCCGCACCCGTCCTCCAGAACCAGTGAAGCAAAATGATGCCGATTTGCTTAAACCGCTTTTTTTTTTTTAATTTATTTTTTTCTTTCCCTTTTCTACCCCCCTGCGCTCTTTAATCTGAAGGTTGGAAAGCTCTGGGGGGAGCGGAGGGGGCTGGGGTGGGGACACGGGACACACACACACACGGCTGCTTCCAAACGCTCAGCTTTAAGCTTTGTTGCCGAGAGCTCATTTAGCAGCGCGCCTCATGCCTTCTGCATTTATAAACACACATGACTTTATCAAGATAATTGAGATGAAGTTCATTGTAAAAAATGCTTTGTTTAAAGAGCAACCATTAAAATGAAGGACCCGTAAATATTTACGAGCAGTTCGGTTAATTCAAGATTAAGGGGAGAGCTGAGAGACCTGGTGTTTAATGTTTTTTTACCTCTGTTAAAAAAAAAAAAAAAAAAAAAAAAAAAAAAAAAAAAAAAACGAAAGCATGCAGTGCCAGGAAAAGGTGTTGCATTGCTTCCCATCCATTGTCGAGAAGATACCTATAATTCTTTTAAAACAGGAAGAACCGTGGTATAATAAAACCATTGAGATGGCTAGACGTCTGGACCTAATGAGTTTACGATATGCTATGGCGCTTTTCTTTGAAACCACCTTATTTTGATGTTTGTGTTTGTTAGAGAGGGGAAAAAAAAGCAAAAAATGCAGACAAACTAGGTCTTAAAATCTTGGACTATAAATTTCAATATGTCAGCGTTGGGCCAAGGCAACAGACTCAAAAAAGACCCGAAGGTCACGCAACTGAGCGGTTTTACAAAGTCCACTGATTTGTTGAAGTATATTTTATTTGCTATTTTATTCCACTACGATGAATCCTAAGGTGTTGGACTTCATGTTTTCGAAAACAACTGTGAAGGGGGGTGACCTGTAACTAACAAAACGTAAACAATATTCTTGCCACGCAACACTCTATTATGTTGATCCCAGCGGTCTCCGGTAAGAAATCGTCACCAAGCCCACACCATGTCTTTATGATATTTTATCTCAGGCAGATTGACAGGTTTTACCTTGTATATTTTTTTTTATTATCCCCCCCCCCGCCCTTTGTTTACCTATTTATGATATGGTGTGCGTTTCTTTCAAAATGACAGAAAGTAAACCAAACGTCTCGAACGAGGAAACGCAGTTCTTCCATGGAAATAATTTTTAGCAGCAAACTGAACAATAATTTAATTCCTATCTGTTGGTTGTGTTAATACGTGTTTGTACATATGCACAGTGGCGTGCACACGCGTTATACCGAATAATTCACAGGCATGTGCCATGAAGGGGGGGGGGAGGAGGGTGGTGAACAAAGATTCATCTTTACTTTCGTTTACATAAATCAACCCATAAATACATAAATGCACGGGGAAACAAAATAGCATGTTCAAGACAAAAACGTATAACTCTGAAACTACCACACATGGAGAATTCTTGGTGTAATATGTGGGGAAACATGATCGAAAACGCGATAGCAGCGGTCTTCAAAGCTCAGGCGTCTTTCCTGGCTGCCATGTGTAAACGAGGCGCATTCTTTGTATGCAGTTAATTATAGCACTGGAAAAAAAAAAAAAAATAAAAGAGGGTCACCGAAATGTGCTAAGAAAATGGCTCTGGAAACTCCGATCGGCACAAAAAAAAAAAAAAAAAAAAAAAAAAAGAAAAAAAAAAAAAAAAACCTTGACTTAAAGTCCTTTAAAAATTAAAGGGGAAAAAAAAAAAAAAAAAAAAAAAAAAGGAAGAAAATGAAGAAATCCAACCCCCCCCAAAAAAAAACCAGAAAGGAAAGGAAGAGCCGCCCATGGCCGGGAGTGCAGGGCCGCGCCGGTGTCCCGTGGCGGCACCGGGGCCTTGCGGAGCCGTTTGGGTTCCTGGCGGAGCCGCCGGGCCGGGGCAGCGCGGGCAG